TATCGAAACGAAAAAAAGATTTGATCCCCGCCGACACACGCGCCGCGCGTTTAAGAATCCCTCACCGAGTCGACCCCTCATGCGCGCTCGCTGCTCGGAGCGGCCATCTTTGTGGCTCCGCATCCCGCTCTGCCCCCCGAGCCTCCGGCAAGTCCTACATCTCCCAGCCCTCTCCGACGTCCCTCTCGCCCTCTCGCCAACCCTCCCGGCGACGGCGATGACGACGCTCGACCTCGCCGCGCGCATTGGCGCCCATCCCGCAAAAATTCTTTCAGCCTCGCAAAAATTTCACACGCTCGTATAATAAGAATGTGTACTGTAGCAATCTCCTGACATCGACGTTATCTCCCACTCGTATATTCTTGTAATTAACACCCAAGTATCTTAGCTCGCTGCAGCTTACGATTCTTTTCGAATCGAATTCAGTTGAAATCTCGACTAACCCGCTAACACACAATTAATGTCTAACAATAAGGATGATGTGAGATTAATTGTAGCGATTGTGAGGAAAAACGAGGGAGTTTTACGAGTTTTCCTCACGCCGTTCGCGACGCCGTCGTGCGTGACGCTCGACCTCAATGGATGGTGCGCGCGCGCGTCAAGGGGAGGGAAAAAAAGGATCGCAAGAAACGCGGGCGATCCGCGAAAGGATGTCGCGGTTCCGGTGACTGAATGTTGCACGAGGACGGGGCACCGACGACCGAGCAAAAAATAAAAAGAACACGGGGATGTGACGAGGGGCTCCGAGGGTACAAAAACAAGGGGCGGTCGAGGTTGGGGTGGGCAACGGTGCATGGATCGAATCGCTCTATGGGAACGAAAAATTGCGTAGGAAATCGGTGGGACGCAACGAGAGAGAAGGAGACCCCTCTGATTTTTACATGGAGACAATCCGATATGATACTGGAATTAGTCATTAAGTCCGTGAAGCCAACGATCCGTAAACCGTGGTAATCCTGGGAATATTTTCTAGCTATTCTGAGAACTTTTCGTTCTGATAACGATACAGGAACAAACAATTCTGAAAATCTTCTAAAAAACAAATAATGATCAGAGTATTATAGAATTAGAACTTTCATTCATACGAAAGAGTGTTGAATATTTTAGAATGATTTAAAAATTATTTTCTAGAAGTCCCCCCCTCCCCCCTGCGGTTTTCTACGAAACCCTCAAAGGTTTCGAGAATGTAAAAGGTATTATAGACACCACTCTGACCGATACTCCTCTAAGCGAGGAAACAAGAATATGAATATTCCGAGAAAATTCTCTGAGAACGGGTATATATCCTGAGTCTCTCCTCTTTCTCGGAACGAGGTTATACCAGGAACGTTCTCCTATACACTTGTAGACCGTCCGTCCCGTTAGGGATGGGCAGCATCCCTTATACACGCTGGCCTTTTTTTTTCTCTTTCTATTTCGGAATTTCCGACGGAAAGCCTCTGAAAAGCTGACCGTCAATTGTAACGTATCTCACCCTGTTCGTTTGAAAACATGAAAATTTCACCGAACGTTCCGTCGAGACTGCTCAAGTAATACTCGCTCTCCTTTCTCCCCCCAGTTTGCTGACTACCTGAATCCGACCCTATACGCCAGGCGCAAGCAAGACGACGCGCGCGGCAGGTGTAACTAGGGCGCGACACCCATCTCGAGCCTGCAGTCGTACGGCTTGTAGGCTCGCGGGAACAAGTGCACACGCAAGTGCAGCGGGGTTGCAAAGTCCCTTTTTTTTCGTCTTCCTCTCTTGCGTGCGAGTGCAAGGACAAAGAAAGCCGGCTCACGAAAGAGCGGTCCCCACGAATAAATCCTTGCGCCCCTCCCCGACCTCGACCTTCATCCACCGCCGTTAAAAAAGAACGTAAGAAGAGGGGGCATTGTTGGATATTCGACACCCCTCTGAATATGACAATTACAGAATAATGTGTCCACAACGCGCCCGGAGGGCCAGGAATGAAGCGACGTCATTCGAAAAATCGATCGACTAATTGAATCAAGGACTTAGAGAGAGAAGGAGAGGGCGAGTCACGAGACTGCATAGAGATTCGGGACAACTATATATTGAAATGAAGTCTGTCTCATTTGAAAAAGGGTTCCATTTGAGCTGATACATAAGTCAACTGTTCAAATTTATCAATCAAAAATAGGAAAAAAACTGGGGGTGTTCCCTGAACCGAGAAAAGGGGTTTCAGCTAATTAATGTTTTATATTAGTAAACTAATTTCTTAATAAATTTATTGCAAAGCAATAATAATATTGATTTTCACAATTTTGTCAAATAAAAAATTACAGTAGCTTCTGCAGTCTAAAGTCAATATGAAAACGTATCAAATTATTTTATATTTTTGAATTTTATATATACTATATTAAATTAATTTATAGTTTATGCAATACAATAATAGTAGAGACATATACATACTTAATTATATCGTTTTTTAAATAATTATTAATATATAAAGACGTACGTGCTGAGAAACAATATCATTCTGCTGGAAAATATCCAAAATTAAATCAGCTCTTAATTACACAAAGAAAAAAATTCGATAAGAGACAGTAGTCTGAGATATCTCCTCTTATAATGCGGCCATAATCGTGCTTGTGGCGCACGAACGCACGTAATTTACCCTATCTTCATGAAAATCAAAACTCCGAGTTGGCAAGAGTGCAAATCGCTGTCCGAGAATCCCGACATTCTTGTAACGGATATATCCTGACGATCGCGCGATTGTAAATCGACACACGTAATAAAAGGAAAGATGATAAGGCAAGGGAAAACAGATACGTTTCAACAGTTGTTACCGTTACATGGTGGCAAATTTCGTAAACCGCTTTCTATATATTTAACTTTCTGTTTACTTAGGAGAGCTGATAAGAGAGCTGACCATAAAAAAATGTCCATGGCCATAAAAAATTGTAAGTGATAAACGGATGGCATTTTTGATAAAACAAATTTACATTTGAATTAAGAGAGTTGTATGTAAAATAAGGTGAAAAAAAATTCGATGCATTCTATATACGTTCGCGTGATGCACAAGAAATTAGGTTTTTGAAAATAAAGCCTGCCGGCTAATAAGTTCGATGATATGGATTTTGACACGGTTCAAGTACGACTGAATGTACATTAATTAACGAAAGGAAACAGGAACGGCGGAGAGATGCGTAATGCAATGATTTCAGTTCACCGTGGAAGAACAGGAAAAAGGAAACCCCCATCGTTTTATAGTCGCGATACACGGAAACCCCTTTTCTCGGTTCAGGGAACACCCCCAGTTTTTTTCCTACACTCCAAACTTTGCATTATTCAAAGGGAATAATCAGATAATACGAGAAATATAAAAGGGCAAAAGTCGAAAAGTTGGAAAAAATTTTCCATTCGAACGATCGGGGAAAAGTTAACATCGAGTAAAAACATTCGGAATCAGATAATAAAACATTCGTTGGGGAAACACATAGGCGAGAATTCTTGGGGGAGATTAGAAAATTCGGGGTTCGGGGGCATCATGAGAGTCCAGGAAACGCCAAGAAGATAAAACGAATTAACAGGAAGCTCAGAATCCACGCGACGTGGCTGAAGATTGAAAAATCGGGGTATTCGATGCGTAACGTATATATTAACCCCGTACCGCTGTTTATCTACATTCTCCCTTCGCCTACGACCATCATCATCATCACCGTAATGATCATCATCATCGCCATCGCCACCATAATTGGCGCCGCTTCAACCCCTCGCGGGTACCGCGATAAAATCGTCACGCTACTCTTAATCAGGCGGGAGGGCGAGAGAGCCCGCAGGAAGTCGCATGTAAATTCTCATCGGAACGCACGTGGGTACGGTCGACGTGTCGACGCTTCGTTGCGTGCACGCACTTGTCGCCCGCGTGTATTGCAGCCCTCCGCGCCGCGCACTCCACCCCGCCCCTCTTTACCCCCCTGTCCCACACCGTGCCCTCTTTGCTCCGGATGCTTTTCGAATCCACATGCACTACTTTTTATGAAGTCGAGACACTCGAGTCCTTGAACGACGAGGGTTGCGATATCGAAAGGATATCTCGTGTGACCCTCTTTTTTCTCTAATCTCTCACGGTAATCGGAGAAATAAGTGATATATTCAGAACGAAGACAAATATATCGTTATAAAAGGAACATACGTAAAAAGTTCTTAGAGAAAAATTCGATTTCAGTCAGCCTGAAGCGTGATCGAAGAGAGTAATTCAACGATTTGTTTTTTAATAGAACGTTAATATCGTGAATAGAGTTTTTAAAACGATGGGTTTAAAATAAATACAACGCACGTGTAATTTCTGTTCTACAGTGAAAGATGTAATCGCTCTATCTCATCGTCAATTGACTCAAAACATTCCGCATTTCCATGAAAAAAGTTGAAGAAGGAAACGGTGTTTACGTAACTATATACGGGGTGTCATTATCGGAGCTTCTCCCATAAACGAGAGAGGCGTGGCGATAGAGCTCCTTGACACCTCGTGTGTGGAATAAACACTCGAAATCTCGTGTGAAGGCCCTTGGCACCGAGTTGCGAAACGCGGAGCCAAGTCCAATCCCGAGGCTCGAGTGCGCCTATATCTTCTAAGATAACACGAATCCTCCGTTAACTGTATCGAGATAACTCGGATAGAACGGCGTGCTCCGCGGCGAGATGTCTATTTATTACCGTGAAATTTCGGTTTTGAGATTACAATTGGAACGCGCGCGCGTATGTGTTATCAAAAGAGATAAAAATGGTTTTTTTTTCCAGAAAAAATGAAGAAATACCGAAGATAATTTTTCTCATTATTTTACCCCAACGAACAGTTTTGCTATACTAATTCACATATTTTTTTTCCTCACATATCCGCCTCTCCGTATATCGCGGATGTAACGACGCGACTTTTCCTACCACTTGAAAAATTCGTCGGAAAAAAAAATCACGAGACACGGCACTGCGCGTTTATACGCACGCACGCACGAACGCACGCACGCACTCAGGCATACAAAGTACAAAAACTCACCCACACACCGGCAGCACCCCGACGTGACTCACGAACACGTCGCGCATCCACAGCCAGCGCCTCCTTGTCGGGGGGGCGCGCGCGCGCGCGCGCGGGGGACGTACAGGTTGCACAATTCTCGTTATCACACCACAAAGTTGCGTCGATCGACTTAATTACCGCGGCGCGACGCAGCATCAACGTCCGTTACCCTCCTCTCGCCCCTCAAACCCCTCTTAGCCGATGAGGCGGAGCACAAGAGCGCTAAAAGAGACACGTGCTCCGAGACTCCAAATCCATCCACAACGTCGTGGGCGCGCGGAGGTTGTTACCGACGGTGAGACAACGGGGTGCGGGAACGAGGGAACGTAGGTAGGAATCGTAAATGAGGCGAAGTGGATCACCGTCGACCGGGGTCGCCGAGGAAGGAAAAAACTGTGAACGGAGCAGCACGAAGTACACGCACGCACGCACGCGGCTTCAATGAGCGCGCGACTGACGACTAGCGAGGGGGAGGATGCCCGGCGGACGGACGGACGGACGCGACCGAAGACGACCGAGCTCCACCGAGCGCCGGGCTGAAGTCGGCCTCGACACCCTGGGGCGTATCGGCGCCTATGGGCAGCGCCGAAGCCGACCGCGCGACACGTCCGAGGGAGCGGCGGCGGGTGAGGGGGAGGGTAATGGAAGGGTAGGGTAGAGAGGCACGTCGGGGGAGAGAGAGAGGAGGAGAAGGAAGGAAGAGAGAGAGGGGGGAGGGATTTACGCAACCCTCTCCCGAGCGAAAAATCCACGTCGAGAAGCACGCCGCCCGTCGATGCGCCGATAAGCCACGTAGTACCCTCGGACCACGCTCTCTCCGTCTCTTTCTTCCTTAGGGGAAGGAGGGAGGACGAAAGAGACTGAGAGAGAGAGAGAGAGGGAATTCTTTCTATATCGCGGTTTCGCTTCGTGGAAAAGAAACTACCTCGAAACTAACCTCTACCATTCCTGCCCCGCCGATTCGTCGCTGTTAACCCTTCCGACGCAGCCACGTAGGAACGCGCGCGGCGGTACATACATGCATACGTAAACACAGACACGCGCGCGAGCGCGGCTATACACTCGCGATAACTCACGGGGCTGAGCACCGCGCGCACGAATGCTCCACACGAACGGCAATCCAGTCGAGGTGGAAGAAAATGAAGAACCGAGATGGGTACAAGGGTCGAATGCAGAAACGGTGGGAGGGTGCAAAGAGGGAGAATGGCATGGAAGCAAAGAGAGAGAGAGAGACAGAAACGGGGGAAGGGAGGGGGAGGCGTAAAGAGGTGTATACGTGTCGCGCGAGGGAGGAAACGAGAGAAAGATTGTCTGGTCGCGTTGGCAATATCGATTCGCGAGGGTGGCTCACGATGGCAACGACCCTGCTCGATGTCTCGTTTCGATTTGTGTCTCGTTTTGCGAGCGCCGCCGTCACCGTCGAACGATTCGCATATTTCTCGGAGCTTATCGACACCGCCCGGTCCTGACCGACGACACCCGAGCGCGCGGGCACACCTCGATTCTTTCTTTTCTTCGTCGCCTCTTTGTCGAATGACGAGAGGAGTTAGCAAAAATAAATTACGACAATACAACACGACGTGACACGATGAGGAGGGCGACGAGAAGGCGCTCGTCAAAGATCGGATGTTACCGCCTGGTTAGACGCGCGGGCGTCACGACGCGCACCACTCGCACTTACCTTGGCATCCTCGCTGTTAAACGAGGACGACGACAACGACGACGACACACGGGGGGATGAGAAACAGAGGTGCGAGAAGATCCGTTTTCCGTGGCGCGCGCGTTAAGGACGTCCAACTTGGCCCGTGCGCAGCACTAGGACGCCATGTCAGCAAGTCGAGGCGCGGACGGACTCTCTCGGGGCAGATACGTACGCGCGGGCCGAGCGTACGTACACGTATACGCCGCGAGCCACGCACACTCGCGTCGAACGTCGTGCGCGAGAGCGAGACGGAAGGCGCACGCACACCACGCCGTTGACCAACCCGCGCGAGCCGTGCCGGGGAATTTCTGCTGCGCCACCGAACGGCCGTCACGGAACCTCGCCTACGCCCGCCTAGCCAACCAAGCCAGCCACGGACGTGTCTTCCACTCGCAGTACCCTTCACCCGTCGTCGTGCGGCACCGCACCGCACCGCGACGCGCAGACAGCAGCAGCAGCAGCAGCGAGCGCGACGCACACCCGCCCGAGTGTACGAACGAACGAATGTACGCTGCTCGCTCGCTTCCTCGCTCACGCGCCCTCGTTCAACCAAACGAACCACCGTGCCCGACGACGGCCGAGTCGAGCCGAACCGTGGCTCCGAAGTCGAGGAGTCGCGGACGCGCGCTTCGCAACCTCCCGCAAGAGCGCAAACTTCTACCACCACCGCCACCTAGAGACGCGACGCGACGCAACGCGACGGAACGAAACGTAGCCGCAGAGAGCTCCCCCACTACACCCTCTCGCGCGCTCTCTACCCTGGCGGAGCCTCTCGCTCGCTCCCCCACCCCCGCACCCTACGCAGCGCGCTCCCCGCGCACCCCCGGCTCGCTCCCGCCGTCCTACTCGCTACCACTTGTCTCGTCTCTCCCTCTCTCTTCATTCCGTCCCCGTCTCACTCTCCGCGCGCGCGCGACGACGCGCCTCTCTCCGTCGCGAATGTGAAACTCCCCCCCTTATCCCTCGCTTCACCCTCTCCTATGTGTTGCTTCTTCCTCACGTTGTTAGCCCCCGCAAGGAACGGACAACTCTCTCTCGTTTCCTCTCGTATTCTTATTGCACGTCACGTTGTCCTCGTTCGACGCCTGCGAGACCTGTAAACCGCGTCTCGCTTCTGTCCGTTCTACTTTGGACTCCCTCGATCACCCTCGAAAAAGGGCACTTGCTTTCGCCCCTTTGTTCTCACGCTCTCAGATCCGGAGAGACGGCCGCCCGCTTCGCCCGTCCCCATGCGCGACGCCCTCGTATCCGTGGGTTTTTTTTTTCCCGTAACGCACCCTCCTCCCCTCGACGCTGCGCGATCTGTATAGTTCCGTTTCTCAAGTTTATACGCGCTGCGCGCGCGTAATCTCGATGAATCTCTCGTCAACGAGAATGCCGCGCGTACGATATCGTCGTTGAAACTTTAGCAGGGCCAAGTTTCCCCGAGTTTCCTGAATTACCCTTCGACCTTGAAATCGACTCCGTCGCGTCGCAAACTATCGCGCGTCGGGTCGACTCGGTTACCGAGAAACTTCATCCTCCGTCGCGAAAGTGCTGACCATTTCGGGTGGGTATGGGGCGAGGGTCAAGGCGGAGGACGAGAGAGAAACGGAGAAGACCAAAGTCCTTTCCTACGAGGAGGAGGTCGGAGGGGTGGGGATGGACCGGCCCCGAACGTCGCGGGGATGCACGTGGAGAGGGATGCGACGAGGTGACTCCCCCGCCACTTCCTCCCCTGGCCGCGGGACAGGAAATTCGCGAGCGCGGAACGCGCGGACCAGAGGGCGAGAGGGGCGGGAAGGGAAGGTGTGCGGTGGTGTCGTCGCGGGTTAGTAGCGAGAGCGCGATTCGCGCGCCTGCGCACTTTTTTCTGCCAGACAGCGGCGGCAGCGGCGGCGAACCGCGTCCATCTCTCTCGCTTTCTCTCTCGCTCTCTCTTTCTCTCTTGCCGTCGCCGCCGCTGCCGCTGCCGCCGCCGCCGCCGCCACGAGGTCGCTTCGCAACGGAACCTCAAGTTGTGCGCCAACCTACCCGACCACTGTTGCGTGTCCGGCAGCAAGTCTCTGCCCGGTTGAAATTGCCCGCTGGTGGATGCTCCGCTCCAAAGTTCCAATGTTCCTCTTCACCCGTCCGAATCTCGTCGACAAAATCGACGTTCCGTTGAAGATACAGCCGTGTATAGCCCTGAGTAGTTTCCCGCGTTGTCCCTCCGGCGAAATTGCTACGCTGGCAACAGGACCGGCGACGCGTTCACCCCGCACGCGTGCCTCGCGTCGCAAATACGCCGCACGCCGTCGCCGCGACTTTACGTCGCGCTCCGCGACTGTCCTTCTCTCTTTCTCTCTCGCTCTCCTACTCTCCCCCTTATCTCCTTCGTTCTGCCCCTCCACCCTTTGGCAGTCGCGTTTAACGGGACGTCCGTGCCATTTCGCGTGGCCAGACGAATGCAAGGGGGAGCTCTAACGCGATATACATATATACATGCAATGTGTATTTATACATTTGTATTCTCGCAGCATGCCCGAGGGTTGCTCTCTCTCTCTCCTTCTCTGCGTGCTCTTTTCTCAAGTGAGTGCAAACAAACGCGCGCGGGGCGATAGGATCCTCGCCGAGATCTTTTCGGTCGACTGATAAAAAGGCACCGAGGCGGCCGCCTTGTCACGATGGACGCAAGAGTGGCGTACACTGTCGGACAAAAAAAAAGTGCCTGGAAGGGGAAGCTGCGGAGAGAGACTCTCGGGGCAACGGCGGTGGCGGCGACGGTGGTAGGTGGAGGGGGTGAGGACGACGATGGTAATATCGCGGGGCAGGGGGGAGTTCGGGGGTAAACGAAACACGTATAGACGGCGTGGGTCGGGGTGAAGGGGAGTCACCACCATCTCTGATGCCGCCGCCGCCGCCGCCTCCGCCACTGTCGTTTGACTCTTGCGACTACTGTTGCTGATCGTCTAGTGTCCTTGGCTCCGCTCTAGCGAGACTCTAGCTAGTTCTAGCTCGGAACGTGCGCGCGCGCTCATTCGCTCGCTTCCACGAGAAACTCGGCTGACTCTCCTACCACTCTTTCGTTGCGCGCCCACGGCCAGGGCTGTATCGCTCGGGGCTGCTATGCCTTTCCCCCTTCCTACCATCTTATCCTTATTCGATCCGTTCTCTCTTTCCGTCTGACGTTTCCTCTGTCGCAAGAGAACTCGCTGTATATTGCACAAACTTGATCGTTATTTTTCTTCGAGGGTTAATGTTCGGCATTACGATTTAATTTAACCGGCACAATTCCTCTGTACAAAATACATTTTTTTTTCTTTTATGTATACATGCGTATACTAATAGAGAATATTAATGAATAACAAAAGTATATGAGAATTTTTACTGTACAGTTTTTAGCGACAACCCTATTACAATTATCGGCGCCCAGCGTGTCGCGCGCCCATCTAGAACCGGGATTCTGGCCCTGGCGCGTCTAGGAAGCTTAGAAACCTCGGCGAGAGTAGAAGGAACACTTGGAGTAGGCGAGCGAGATGGAGGGAGGGAAGGGAAATGACAGCAATGGCGTCATTGCTTGCGCGCGCGGAGGAGAAGGAGGGGGAGAGGGCTGTCTTCGCGTTACCGCGGGGTGGAGGGCCGCCGCGGAGCGCGGCGGGGGCACGGAGGGATCCAAGGAGTACTACACGTGTCGCTGTAGCGCGGGGTGTTGACCCCAAATAGCTTTTTTAACGTGACGTAACCGCGAAAGGGTTGAGAAACGGCCGTGGCGACTGCCGACGCCGACTTCGCCTCGAACTCGGAAGAAAGAGCAAAAGAGAGAGAAAAGAGAGAGGGAGGGAGAGGGAGAAAGAGCCAAGCCTTCTCTCGCGTCTTACCAGGCCTTGTCTTGCCTTGCCTTGCCTTGCCCGGCTCCTTGCCTTCCAGCGCGACTCCCCGTTATATGCACGCCACGGAACGATCCTTTCGTACTTTG